AATGAATTGCACCCGAACGATTCTCGCCATAAAAAAATTACACGCTTGCTCTATGTCTAACTCGACGATAGCTCGCCGGCCAGTAGCAATTCCTTACTTTTACATTTACAACGCGTTAGCATAAACCTACTAATAAGCGAGCTTCGAAGCACACTAACAAACTGAACGCGAATCTTTCACTTGGATTTTGTAGACAGGATATACACTATTCACGCGTGTGCATAACGCATTGGATAAAAATTTCCGCGTTTAAGAAAAAAGGGTTGAGAAAAATAAAGAAAATGAAAATAAATTATTGCACGTGCGTTACACGCGCGCACCATCCCTACCCAACTTGAAATTAAAATCAAAGGTGAAATAATCGCGATTTAAAATATATATATATATATATATATATACAACCGGTGATTATCATTGTCTCCCCCTTTGATCATTTAATTAAAATTCCTTACCAGATCCAATAATATTCACTCGTATAATTGTACAATTGTAAAAAAAAAAAATTATACAATTTCAACGCAGCTGATCCCCAATCGTATCTCATATTCACCAGATAAGAAGAATATTATACGAGAATTAATCGACCTCCCCCTCGTTTACACACGCTGTGTGTAAACCTTGTGTGTAAAACAATGAAGTCATTATTCATCGTGTTACTTTACGTTTTTTAGTTGTTACAATTGACTTTCACAAGGAAGAAGCTGCCTCCTAACACACAAGGAGGGAGCTTCCAACGAAAAACATTGGCGCTTGCAAGTTCGTTGTAATATCTCTGCTATGATGCGAGTCGGCACCTAGGTTAAAAAAAAAAAAAAAAGGATGAGAGAAAGAAAGGAGAGCGAAGAAGAAGAGGTGGAGAAAAATTGGCAGGCTATTTGGCGCGGGTTTAACGCGCGTAATTCATAAAGCTGGATAATTAGTTAACTAATTAATAGCGGGCGCACCAAGGAATAATGGACTCCTTCCCACGGCAGATTGCGATCAAAATAAAAAATCTCCTTCGCGAGATGATCACGGTCGTTAAATCTGGAATCGGTTGTGCGTAAGTGAACCCTGTTCCGTGGAATGTTTTGTTTAGAGGGAAATTGAGGTGGGAATCGTGCGTGATTATGCATTGTACGCGTATTTAGCCCCGCGGCTCATTAACATTAATAAATGCCCGCGTGCAATGCAACGGGGATGTAACGATACACTTTCGTGCGCGTTCTTTCTTTCTCT